GTGTGTGTGTGTGTGTGTGTGTGTGTGTGTGTGTGTGTCAGTGGTGGGTTTCAAAAAATTTTGGAACCACTTCTGCAGGTGTGGCCTGCTTTCCGGGTCCAGTGGTGGAACCTCTTCTAACCGGTTCGGTAGATTTGACGAACCGGTTCTATCGAACTGGTGCGAACTGGTAGGAACCCACCTCTGATCCTTCCCCCGGAGTGAGGTGAGAATGGAGATTTTGCAGTATCCTTCCCCGGCCACGCCCACCAAGCCACACCCACCAAGCCATGCCACCCCCACCAAGCCACACCCATAGAACCGGTAGTAAAACAATTTGAATGTCACCACTGATGAAGATGATAGAGAGTCATAATTCAAACATCTGGGAAAGCCAGAGTTTTTTCAGTCCTGATTATAACTAACGAGTGGATTAGCTTCTACAGATCCATCCAAAAGAATGGCTCCTCAAATGTGATTTGGTTATTCTTCTTATTATAGTTTCCTGTCCTACATTAAGATCTTCAACGTTGGCAGTCGGTATCTAGTGAACAGGGTTCAGGACCACATACAGAGTCGCACTGTTTATTACTTGATGAATATCCACGTGACACCCCGCTCCATCTACCTCAGTCGGCACGGGGAGAGCGAGCTTAACCTCCGGGGGTGCATTGGGGGCGACTCTGGGCTATCTGAGCGTGGCAAACAGGTATACTTTTCACATTGTTATATCTTGGTATGTTGTTGCATTTAAACTGTTTCAAGTCAGGCCAAGCAGCATAAAAATTATTAGCAGTGGATGAATTCAGCAGTTTGATATAGTGATCAAAGCACCAGGCTAGCACTCGCAGAAATAGCCTTGTGAGTTCCATTTCTTTCTTAGGCATATAAAGCCATCTGGGTGACTTTGGGTCAATCTCTCTCTCCCCCAGTCCTAGGAAAATGGCAAAAGCAAAAAACTTCTGAAAGTCTTCCTAGGAAAACTGTAAGGCCTAGTCCAGGCAGTTGCCTGGAGTCAAATCAAATCAAATCAAGTTTATTACAGTCAAAGACCAGAGCCCAGAACAGATAAAAACACTCAATGAATATCCAGTTAAAAATTCTAGAACAAAAGTAATAAATAACAGATGAAATCTATATTAAAATCACCATTTGGCATCCAATCTGTCAGATACACATGGCCTAATTATACTATAATTAACAATCCATAAACCGTGAGGCCTGTAGTCATTAAATACTAAAACGCAAAGAAATAGTAATGCAAAGGGGTTTGCCACATTAGTTGTGTAAAAATAACTAAAGTTGGATTGATCACATTTCCAAGAATCCCCAGTGCTGCTGCACAAAATCTACCCACCTGTGCTCTAGTTAAAATCTGTTTATCCTTAAGCAGCCACTGGAGATAAGCAGTATCGGAAGGGCCAGGATACTGACCAATTATTGGGAGGATATGGGTGTTTTTTTTTACTATCTATATAAAAGGAGCATCGAAGGAGTATGTGTCCAATGGTCTCCACCTCTTCTGAGCCACAGGAGCAAGGAGTCCAATCTGGCTTGAAGGCACATACAATTCAGCAGAATAAAATGGGCTAAAGCTAATTTTTTTTTGTTAAATCCCTCTGAAAATATTTAGGGAGCAGCTACATAAGAATCTTTGGAATAAATATATCCCCAAAATTCAAGCATTGGATCTTTTATGGGGTTTACATAAATTATGAACCATTAAAATCAACTTGGTTGTAAACCACCATTAACAATTATAAACTGGAGGCTTTCATCTCAAAGCCCCCGATTCCTCACAAATCTAAAGTCCTCTACATCCTTTTATCTGTTTTCCATGGGGTTTCTAGAAGCTTTTTAAAGAGAATTATGAACTCACACCCATGAAGGAGACTGGATGTTCTGTATGTTGGCAGCTGTTCATTTGATGACAGCTGTGATATTTAAAGAAGGTTATCCTTGTAAGATTTTTCCACCCAGGTGTCCATTAGAAATGCTTAGATCCAGGAGCTCCATATTAAGCTCATAGTCTTCAGAATGAACATTGCACTGGTGTTCCTACTTTAAAATACCAAGTGTGGATTCTTAGAAAAGAAAGGCAGAAGCTGAGAGTCCTGTTTTTGGCTTAGGGCAAATGTGCCGAGTTCCTTGGGTGATTCATATCTATGTTTTTTTTCCACTCTCCCTTTCTTTGTCAGTATGCCTGTGCCTTGGCCAACTTCATCCGTTCCCAGTATATCAATGACCTCAAGGTCTGGACAAGCCACATGAAACGCACAATCCAAACAGCAGAAGCATTGGATGTGCCCTATGAACAGTGGAAAGCATTGAACGAGATTGATGCGGTGAGAAGCTATCCTTAACACATCCTGGCTCTTAAACTGGGGGGGGGGGGCAGCCCTGAGGGTTCCACATTTCTCTCACTCTCATTTACCGCAAATTGCCTTCTATGACCAAGAGAGGCCCAACTCTCAAGACCAGAGAGTTCCTTCTTTAGCCTCCTCCTGAGGAAAGCACGGGAGGGAAACCTGATCCCTTGCTTCTTCATAAACTTTCTCAAAGCTGACTTTTCTTCCCAGTGTCCAAAGCTCAGGGATTCCAAATCCTGCATTTGTTTCAGGGTGTCTGTGAGGAGATGACTTATGAAGAAATCCAGACCAGTTATCCACTAGAGTTTGCCCTGCGAGACCAGGACAAATACCGCTACCGCTATCCTAAAGGAGAAGTAAGAACTGTGCAATCTGGGTGCAACATGGGTGGATTTAGGTAGCATGTTACAAAAGGAGGAAATGGGCAAATCTAACATGCTCCCAGGGACAGAGGAGGATGGGAAAATAATGATCACCTTCTGCCGATTACCTCCCTCCGACCGATAAGATCGCACAGACTGGGCCT